AGGTGGTTTGAAGGATTTCTGCTGAAACTTTTCATACACTTTTTGCATTTAGTATAAATTAAACATGACTCGATTTAGACGGCACATGAGAGTGACTCTGTTGCCTGGTGTTCAGGGTGACGGCTAGTCTCTTTTGTAAAATGATCATGGAAAAATTAATTTGGGGTTTCCCACATCCAAGAAAAGTATGTTATCCTCTGGAATGCGTGATGTAAGATTTCCCATGAGGCTAGCTGTTCATTTCCAAGTGATTTTTTTTTTTTTTTATTTTTTTTTTTTTTAACAGTTAAAAGTTCCTGAAATCTGAACATTTTTTTTCAGTTGGAAAAAATTGAAAAATTCCAGTGAATAAATGAAAAGAAAGGCTCAGCTTGATTCTTTAGCTTTCCCTTCCCTTCCCTTCTTTCTTGAAGTTTCCACTGAAGTGTACCAGCGCAGGTAAACAAGCAAAGAGCAGCCAGGCCATGCTGGTGGTACCGCTGCTTCCATTGCAGCTCTCATCTTCTAGAGTCAGCAAGGTCTTCTGCAAATCCAGCTTCATCCACACAACACAGTTCAGGTGTCAGTGGCTGTGGCTCAGTCCCTGTTAGATGAATGTCCTGAATTTCTACACCTCCCTACTCACACCAGAATTAATGATCGTATGACCTAGAGAGTGGTGGCCAGTGGGCAAAACCTTGGGCATGGCCTTAACTCCCACCACCGTGACCTCTACAAGCCTTTTTGAGTCCTTCAGTGGTCCTTTCAATCCTCTGCTGTTTGATCTCGTTAGGTGGTAACCTCTTTGGAGCAGAACCGCCTATTGCCTTGTGGTTGTGGTACACAGCATGGGTTTTCCTCTTGTTTGCAGATTGTTTTTATGAACTTGAAGGCAGTACACAGCAATGCGCAGGATAGTTCTCTTGGCCCTGCATGCTTCATCCCATCCCGGGATCCCATCCCACCCCATGTACCAGGGTGTGTATTTAGGTGAAAGCAGATGAGGGGACTGAGCTGGCAGCAGGTTTGGAGGCGGCGGGTGCAGCGAACGGATGGCAGGTTCCGAGCAACAAGGAAATGCGGTTTTCTCTGCAAGATCTGTGAAACTCCTCATTGTATTAAGTTGTGTTTACATAGGTGCAAAAAGCAACTGTACAAATTTATGTGAGAGAAAAATACATGAAAGACTATTAAATACAAAGATCCCATCTATGACTGAGGTTTTTCTGAGCCAGAAATCTCTGGAGGTGGGAAGAGTGTTTGGGGGAAGCATCCCTGTGTGGTCTACTTTTAAATACTTCCTTGGCATCCTCTGTTGGAGACAGGACGCAGGACTGAAGGGCCCCATACCTGCCTCAGTGCAGGCTTAATTTTTAATTCTGTTTGGTTCTGCGATCCACTTCACTGTGCAGCCAAAGAGATGTTTTTGAAGGCTGAAGGTAGAAGTGTGGGGAGGCTCAGGGGAGAAGCTAAAACCACTGCCTTTGGGTGACTCTGACTACTGGCCTTTCCTTAGCAAACCAGGGCTGGTTTTAGGTACGTGCATTGCAGCGGTAAGGCTAATTAGGCAGTGGAAACCATCGCGGGGATCCCTCAGCCCCCGCTCAGGATGTGAAATGCTGTGGCCAGTGCTTGGGGCAGTGGTGGCGGGGAGAACAAATCGCTGCTGGGTTTATCTCCCATCAGGTCTACGATGGGGCAGAGCAATGCTTTAATGACAGAAAACGGACGGTATTAACCTATTGCTAATGTAGTGAGAGGCTTCCTCGAGTGTTCATGTTGCTGCACCTGATCCAAATGAAGTAGGTCTGGTTTTATTGTGAATTTGAAGAACTGCTTTGAAAACTGAACTGAAGGAGAGGCCGAATCCTCTGCCGTTGGAGCTGAGGGAAGAGGAGGAACCGTCGGAGGCCGAGCAGCCCCTACCTTTGCTTGATGCTGCTTAAGCACTGCAGTGAAAAGTGCAAGGCTCTAGGCTCTGGCCCAAAGTCACCACTATTGAGAACCCCATTTTAATGGGCGCCGATGGCCATGTCTTACATGTTTCATTATGTTGTTGGTCTGACTTGTCACAGGGAAGCGATTTCTTCTAGGTTTTTGTGGGTTTTTTGTTTTGTTTTGTTTTTTAATACATCTTCTTTTAAATGCTGCCAACCCGATCTCCATCCATCGCGTGTACACCCACAGCCTCTTGGCAGAGATCTTGTTGGGGGTTTCTTTTGTTTTTCAGAAGGGTTCACAGCATTTGTTTACTTATTTATTTTTACTTCTCTGGGATGTCTGCTGCCTCTGCAGGGTGGCTAGACTGTGCAGCAGC